CAGCAGCTCCAGGTTTGTCCATCCCACACAGGTGCCCTGAGGCTTCAGAGCCTCAGTCCCATCTCTGAAAGCTCTCTGGCCATTATCCCTTATTCCCTTTAACTGCAGCACCTCTGGGTTTACACCAGGATTACAGGAAGCCTTTGCCAACAGCAGCAGCTCAAGGACTGAAGGCATCACTCTCTTGTCTTTTATCACCTTGCAGCTCAGTCACTGCTTGATCCCCTCCCAGTGCCACCAGTGCAAGACCAGTTTCAATCCTAACCCAGCTTAGTTCAAACTATCACCAGAGTTTGAGCAATTTTCAGCCAAAATATCTTGGAGTATTCAACCATTGTCTCCCGCCTGTTCCACAATGGGAATGCTCAGCTCCCAAAGCAGCTGCAGAGGTAACCACAGAGCCCTGAGTTATTTTACAATTTAGAAGACACTTTAAGAGCTACCAACACTAAGGAAGAGCTGCTGATGTGAGAAAGTCATTAACAAGTTATTAACAGGAATCAACACATTGGTGCATTTCAGAGCTGACCAGGAACACAGATCCAGTCCAGCTTCAGTCTCCTTCCAACTCTCCGTCAGCCCAGCCTGGAGAACTGGAGAATTCCTGTGGAATTCCAGAGTGGAAAAGCAGGTGAAGCCCGGTTTTCCAAGGAGGGGTTTGGAATCTCAGCAGATCCCAAAGCCGGTGAGCCCCGGTGACAGTAACAGTGTCATAGACACACAACATAAAAGAGTAACAATTTTTAGGTGTTTTTTAAAATAGATACAACGAAATTGCACTCAGTGGCTGCAGGGGCAGCACCTTAAACTCTTCAGCTGTGTCTGCATTGCCAAGTTCTTAAAGCAAAAGGCCTTTTAGACAGCCTGCACAAAGGCTTCCTGGTTTAGATAATAAATTGATGATAAGAGGAGGCAAGAGCAAATCCTACTCATCACACAGTCTGTAAGATCATTACCAGAAGAATCCCCTCAGTAATAACATTTACTGGGCTTCAAGAACCCAGTTTGATCTCCTTACCAGTACAGAACAGAAGTGAATTGGAAATAAAGGAGGAGAGGAAGGAACACATGACAGGAAAGGTATTAAAAAGCAAATTATTGAAAGTGGTAGAGCAACGAGAAGAATGAAAGCCAAAGTCTTTTTTATTTAAACGAAGAGAGCAATTCTTAGAAATCATCTCTGCTAAAATTTTACCTCATGCTTTTGTGTCCTGTTTTCCCTCCCTGCCGAGGCTCCTGTGATCTCCTCAAACACAGGGGATGGGATCCCCCATCCAGAGCCACTCCCTGCCCATGAGCAATCCCAACGTGGAGTCACACAAGGCTCAGTCAGAGGATGCTGAGCACCTTCTGTTCCAGGTTATATCCACATCATCGTGGACATGGTGACACTGAGTAACTAAACTTTGTCACATCTCTGACTTCTCCTCACGTCCCAAGCCTGGTTTCCCTGGTGTCTTTGAGAATTAAAGCTTTATTCCCTGTATTCCTTAGGAGCATCCATCCCTTCCTGCAAAACTCAATACCCAACACACATCAATAGGTTCAGTGCAGATCAAAGTTGAGTTCAGAGCAATCAGACTTCTAAACCCCTAAAAGTTAAAGTGCAAAAACCATTATTAACATGAAAATTTAATGAAAAGAGAAGTCTGCTGGGGAGGGGTTTGCTTTTTACATTTTACTAATTAAAACCCTTCGTAGAGGGACTTATTTTCCTTATTCAGGATCACCCTATTATAAGATTCAATATGAAATCTTTTTGCAAAGCCAGGTTCAAGTTTTTCCTCTGTGAAAAGATTATTTTGTAATTTTTCAAGTCATACTCGTGGAATACAGAGAAACCCCTGCATTTCTCATGACTACACACACTGCTGGCAGAGCTGAACATAATTCAGGTCACTGACCTTCGGTGAACACAGGCAGGCCTGTTGCTAGCAACATAAAATATAAATACTTACTTAGAAACCGAATTTTTTTTTATTTATTTACTAGGAAAATTATCCTGAGGTACCCACCATGAAATTGGGGTTATTAAAATACTGGAATATAATGGATTTAGACATCTGAACTATGCAGAGGCAAGCAGTGATGAGGTTTGATGTAAGACAAACTGAGCAAAAGATTCCTCAAAGACACAGATTTGGTGTTTTATTTCAAACACTGCACAGTGAAATGTGAAGTACAATCAATCCAATTGGAATTTGATTAATAAATCTGACAGGGTGCTCAGTGACTGATAGCTTCCCAGAGGGACAAAGCTGAGGAATTTCAGAATCATTGTTTTGCCAGCACCCAGCACATGCAGTGGGAGTGCTCTGTTAGCAGGGAAATCCCATGTATTTAATGTCCAAATTAACACACACCTGAAATCCAAACACGGCCAAATTCACTGCTGCTCTGACCAACACAGGGGATGATTCACAAGAATGAAAAGGAGGGGAAAAATGGCCATGCTGTACTGAGTTCTGCTTTGTACAACTCAGATTCACCTGCAAAATCACAGCAGAAAATTAAAAGTAAATTATGATTCCAGCACAAAAAGCCAATATATTCCTGTCCTTTCTGGGCACCAGCATGTTCCTATGGACACAGCAAATATATTGAGTACTGAAACACAGGTAAATTAAATTGTGACCAGCATCACATCTATCCTGTTCCCAAGGAAGTCACAGATCCCCTTCTCCAGCTTTAAGTTCTGTGGGATTCTGGAACACTTATTAACTGAGTGTTTTCACTGAAACAGCAACTTCTTTAAGATTACAGAATCAGGGAATCATGGAATGGTTTGAGATGGAAAGGACCTTAAAGACCATCCCTGGGCAGGGACACCTTCCACTGTCCCAGGCTGCTCCAAGCTCCAATGTCCAACCTGGCCTGGGACACTGCCAGGGATCCAGGGGCAGCCACAGCTGCTCTGGGCAAAGATTTTAAAATTCATAATTCAGTAAACATAAAGTACCTCTCCTCAGGTGACTGTGTATTTTACAGAACCATGAGCAGTCACCTGCTGAGCTCACCCTCACACATGGGGTGCAGCTTTCTCCTTTTAAAGCATGGAAGGAGAACGCTAAAAATTTGGAAATTGAGCATTTTTCTACATCACTGGGGGAAAGTCGACAACAAACAAAACTGAGTTT